TCTAGCACATTAATTCAAAAAGGTTTGCTATTAAGTCTTGGATTCATTTTGGAGTGGACTTTGCCCCTTCTTCTCCCTTTGTTTCTTCGGTTTCCTCTTGGCTTTTGCTGTTCTCGTAGCCCTGGCTATTTTTCCCGTGCTGCTATTCCGTTCTCTGTGCTGGCTCCTCGGGTCCCTTGTTGGCTGGGTTTCCCATGGCTGCCTGCTTGGTTTCCAGTGGCCTTCTTTTCTCTGTTTCCTGTACCGAGTTGGGGCTGCTGTGTTGTGGCTGTTGGCCTTTCATTTCCCTAAATCTAATTGGTTTGGTTGGAGGTGTTATGGCTGTTTGGTTCCTCTTTTTTGCCTATAAAATGGAGATGTTTTGGCATAGAAAAGGTTGGTGAAAAATGTGATTTTTGAGACAAAAATCTGAGAGGTTTTTCTTCTTTCTTGGAAAAGCTTGTGAGCTTGTTCCATTCCTCCCTTCTCCTAGGAAAGCTTGCGAGCTTGTCCTCCTATACTTCATCTCTTGACTTCTAATCTATTTCTTCTCTCCGCATGTGACCATTCCATTTGTATCCTTCTTCTCAAGGCAAAGCTCCTTTAGGTGTTTAAGGTGTCTTCATGTTTTAAAAGTTTGTAAGTGACTTATAAGCGTCTTTTATATTATAAAAGTTTGTTTTTTTTGTCTAATTTGTCTAGTTTTTGTGAGTTCATGTAAGTTTCTATTATCTGGAAAGAGTTTATTTTGCTTGCAAAAATTTGGGGCCTTTCCCAAGTTTTTGCTTGCATCAAGAAGTAAACATTGTTGAAGCAGATAGTTGATGTGGCCAAGAAAATCTTTTCAACAAAAGAGGCTCTCATGCTTTGCTAGGTTTGCTATTCTCATGATGGCTTGGTCCTTGGCTCCCTAGATGAAATCCTCACCTCCCTCTTCTCTTGAGAGCCCTTTCCTTACTTATATTCACTGCAAGGAGAAAGCAATGGTTTTATCTCAAGGAGAAAGCAGTGGTTTTATCTCAAGAAGAAACCCTAGAAGGTTCCAAAGAATGAGAATTCACCCTCATTGGGTATTCATTTAGTAAACGACCCTTCTATGGTGCTTTACTAGATACCATTAATAAATTATGAACTCTCGAAGTTAATATGCAATTTCTTACTCTAATGAAGATTTCTTTCTCTTCAAATTCTTATGTCTAGAGGATTTTTATATAATGTGGATGGATGGATCTTATTTTTTCTTTAGAAAACCCTTCATTTTGCATAAGTGGATTCTTGACTTGTGGTATGTTGAAAGGATTTCTCGTCTATTCCACTGTGAGTTAAAATATTGGATTTACCTTTTAGTTGTTGGAACCCAACCCATATATCCAAGATTAGAAGCAAAATTGGAATCCCCCTCATCTTTGATGAACTCACAGCCAAAAAAACTCATCTTATATGTTCTATACTTTGTATTCAAGCTGCCAATGGTGCCCCTTTGCTTGATGGGTTCATATTATCCAGGATGGATGGTAAGGATCTCACCTTTAGGGTTGAATATGATTAGAAATCATCTCCATGTTATGGATGCGGATCCTTCACTCATTCCCATCACCTCTATCCCACTAACCTTTCTATGTCTCAAAACCCTCCTGCTCAGCGACATGGATGTAGCGCTAGCCACCCTCCCCACTACAGAAGTACTACCCCTACAACTCTCCCTATGTTTAAATCTAATCAAGAGCCTAACCCCACTCTTTCCCTTCTCAACCACTGTCCTCCTCCCAAAAACCTTTAAAAAACCTGTCTGTGTTTTTAGCTCAAGACTCTAATTCCCTCCCAAATGCTGCTCTTGAAAAAACTATTTCTAATATCCCTAATATCAACTTCCCAGAGGGCTTTTTTTTTGGATAGCCTTTTGAATAACTCTTTTCCTTCTTCTTGTCAACCCCAACTGAATAATTTCATAAACCCAAAGTCCAAAACAAAAAGAGTTTAAAGTCTCCCCAAACCCAAAAAATCAAAATCAATCACATTCTTCCCATCTTTAGCAGCTTGAAACGTTCGAGGTTTTCGCAAAGTGGATACGGTCCTTTACTGCAAGAGCCTAATCAAGAGCCTAACCCCACTCTTTCCCTTCTCAACCACTGTCCTCCTCCCAAAAACCTTTAAAAACCTGTCTGTGTTTTTAGCTCAAGACTCTAATTCCCTCCCAAATGCTGCTCTTGAAAAAACTATTTCTAATATCCCTAATATCAACTTCCCAGAGGGCTCTTTTTTTTGGATAGCCTTTTGAATAACTCTTTTCCTTCTTCTCAACCCCCACTGAATAATTTCATAAACCCAAAGTCCAAAACAAAAAGAATTTAAAGTCTTCCAAACCCAAAATATCCAAATCAATCACATTCTTCGCATCTTTAGCAGCTTGAAACGTTCGAGGTTTTCGCAAAGTGGATACGGTCCTTTACTGCAAGAGCCTTATCTTTTATTTGAACCTATCTTTCTTTCATCCTTGAGACTTGAATCAACCCCTCTTCTTCATTAACTCCATGAGTTTTTTTTTTTCTTTTGAAGCAGAGTACACCAATTTCTTTATATACAACTCTGGTTATATTTGGGTCAAATGGAAAACCGTTTCTCTCTCTCTCTCTCTCTCTCTCTCTCTCTCTCTCTCTTTGTTCTGAGATTATCGAGAAAGAACTTATGCATGGTATCTTCCCCCCTCACCCCTCCTACTCCCTCCACATCACTATGATTTATGCTACTAATTCCAATTTTGAAAGAGTGGGCCTTTGGGTCCCTCTCACCCATATTATTGCCAATTTAGATAGTCATTGGATTGTCCATGAAGACTACAAATGCTATTTTTTTCGCATGAGAACATTGGGGACAATCCTACCCCCTTCCCCCAACAAGCTGAAAGACTTAATGACCTTCTTTTTTAAGTGGGTTTATTCAACGAGGCCTTTATTGGGTTTTTAGTCATGTTGTCCAATCTTGTCTTAGACTTGAGTCTTCCATTTATTGCCTTTCTTTGAACATTGCTGGCAGGTTTAAAGCTATAATGTTGTTAATTATTTACCAAGCCTAGACATATTTTATTTCTAAAAAAAACTCTATAGACACCGTCATCTTGGCAAATGAGATTCTTAATGACTTAAACAATACTTCTCACAACACCTTTTGCACAAATCTTGACTTAATCAAAACATTTGATTCTGTAAACAAGGAGTTTCTTAAGCAGGATGCTAAGAGTGTAAACAAATCGAGCTGAGCTCGAATCACACCTAACTCAAGATAGGCTCATCCAATGAAGTGTGGGCTTGAATTCGAGCTCGAGCTCAAGTCGAGCTTGTGTATTGAGCTCGAGCTTGACTCGTTAAAATCGACATATGCTCAAACTCGACTTGTTAATTCGAGTTCATCAGAGAAGCTCGTCAGCGTAAGAGAAGCTTGTCAACGTAAGAGAAGCTCGTCAGCGTCGGAGAAACTGTTAAAGGTGTTGCAGTGGTATCTCACTGAAGCGTACGTAAGTCGTTTTCCAGGAAGTTGCAGTGGAGCTTGATTTGCAAGGAAAAAAACCCTTCTTGGGAAGAAGGTTTTTTGCTGTGTAGGTGTTTAACTCGATTTGCAGGGAAGAATAACAAACATTAATTAAGGAAATGCAGGTTTTTGACATATATTTAAATGGTAAAATAACATAAAGCAACATTAATGAGAAAAGACAAAAGTTTTACTTATACTGTTTTAAAAAATAAAAAAAAAACTTAAAAAACACATTTAAACTCAAAATGCATTTAATGACCATTTTTTATTAAAAAAAAGAAAATATAGCATTTTAAATTTAATTTTAAATAAGTCGAATTGACTCGCGAGCTGATGAGCTGAGTTTTATCAAACTCGTGTTCGAGCTTGTTTAGCATTCGAGCTCGTTACTTGATAAGCTTGACTTGTGAGCTTGTTAACAAGTCAAGTTCGAGCCGGTTCAGCTCATTTACATCCCCTACAGGGTGCTAAGCAAAGGGCTTTTTGTGTCCTGGATTGAGGCTTGCATCTTCAACATTTCATACTCCATTCATATTAATAAATCTCCAGAAGAATTATTCTCTTCGACCATTGGACTTAGATAGGATTGTCCACCATCTCCCTATTTGTGTTGCATTGTCGTGGATGGATTTTCTAATTATTTGGTGGATCACATTCTCCTCTGAGATAGGTAATTAGGCTATGTGCGAATGATGTCATTATTTTTGGGTAAGCTACTAATAGCAACTTACTCTGCCTTAGGAACCTCCTCCAGGACTTTTACCTTGCTTCTATAGCCTAATTAACCTATCTCGACCTCCCGGTCTTCTCACATGTCTCCTTTAATTGACTTTCTGGTCTTCTCACATGTCTCCTTTAATTGACTTTCGACCTTTGGTTGATAGAGTCCATCTAGCCTAATTAATCTCTTGTTAGGAGGTTTCAATTCCTTAAGTTAGCAATATTGAACATTAGTGCATATTGGGCTAGAGCTCTCTTCCTCCCTAAAGCTACATCCACTTGCTTCATAAATGATGCTCCAAATTGCTTTTCCAAAGAAATATCTCAGCTAAAAAGTTTCATATGGCATCCAACAACCACACTTGCCGTTCCCGTGCTAAAGACGGCCTTGTCTCCATCCCATGTAGGTTATCTTTTGTGACTTATGTCCTCTCTCATATGGAGAATTTGGACAAATAATAATATATTCTCTTCCTCATTTTTGGGTAAGTGTACTTCAATATGGAAGCCTACTGACAAAAAAGTTTATTCTTTTGGAATTGTCTCTCATGGATGCTCGGCTCATGAAAGCCCACCTCTCGTCCCTAATAGGCAATGTGTCCTCCTTGCTGTTGTAGGATCCTTGCTATGATCATTTCTTTAAGGACATCATTACTAATCAACACTATCATTTGTCTTGGGATGAAAATGAATCTCTTACTCATCTACTATTCGCTGCCAGGCTCTTATTATATCTATCTTCTTCTTAACCATCTTCTTTAAATTTTTGGAACACATTGCTTCCATTGAAGTATTACTTTTCTTCGGCACACTTACATTTCACAATCAAGAGAACTTTTCGAGCCAAGCTGAGTGGATGGACAAGAAATTAGAGTTTGACATTATCAATTGCTTCCTTGATGGACACATCTCCTAGTTTTTGTGCATTTTTATGCTTTGTTTTGGAAAAAAAATTGTTGGTTTTGCTGCTCTATTGCCAATTTTGTTAGTTGGGCATTGATGATTAGGCCTGTTGATTGTGCCGCAACCTTAGTGATGTAAAACGAAAAATCTGTACTATTTCTATGTGAAGGAAAGAGAAATAGTTCAGATTTTGATGAATTAAGTTTGGGATTGTGAGGATTTTCTTTTGAATTTGGGAGGGAAAATCTGAACTTAATTCCTCCAATCAAAGCCTGTTGTCAGGAAAGAATTTAAGAAAATATTCCTATCAGGATCTAAAACATTTCAGATTTTTCTCATAAAATCTGAGAGAATTGGAGAGAGAGGGAGGAGAAGGGGCGGCGGGATCCAAGGCAGGCTGAGGGAAATCACACCCTTACATCCGTGAAGTGAGTTAGGGAAAAAGAATAGGAAATTAATGTTGAAATTTGCTGGAATCTCAAAACAGTCAAGGATTCGTGGAGTTTCCTTTGCTGGATATTCCCAAGAGAAAAGAAAGGAAATCTGGACATATTTTGTCCAGATCCAGTGAAGGGGGAACACAACGGGATGTGGGGAGGAATTGGGGATTATTTCCTTATTCCACTTCTCAGTTTTGGGAAGGAAATAATGGCTAGCAGTAATGGTGAGGGAGAAAAGCTGAGAGAAAAAAAATTCCCTTGCATCCGTGAAGTGAATTTGGGAAAAAAGAATAGGAAATTAATGGCTTAAAGAATTTATTTCCTTATTCACTCTTAGCCCAGGGAAACAATTAATGGCTTGGGCTTTGAATCTCACGGCTGGTAGGAAGGAGGAAATTAAATTCATTTCCAGCAGCAAGAGGAGTTTCAAATCTTTCCCTAGATGCCTTCAGGAAAATTCGGCCAAGCAAGAGGAGTTAATGAGGTGATTTAATGTTCCCTGATTTGAATTTAGAATTCCAATGAATTTAAATTAAGAAGGACGTAATGGAATTTGTTGCTTAAAGTTAGGGAATTAAAGAAAGAACCAGTTAACTCCCTTTTGAATTTGAAATTCAAATCGGATAAAAAAATGGAAACTTTCCAAAAATAGCTTTCATAAATTAGTAACGATTTCGAATTTCAAAATACAAGATTTTGAATTTGAAATCAGCCCAAAATATGTCAAATTCAAATAAGTTCTAATAAGGAAACTTTCCAAAATAGCTTTCACAAAATAGGAAAGATTCTGAATTTCAAATTCGTTGGATTTGAATTTCGAAACTCTGTCCAAAGATTAAATTACCCAAATTAGGCTAGGATTTCAATGGGGAGAAGGAGGTGGAAGGTGGCCGGCGGCTAGAGCTTGGGCCGGCGGTATGAGGGGTTGGGTAGAGTGTCGGCCGTGGGTTGAGGAGGTGGAGCTAGGGGGAATACTTGGGTGGATGAAGAGGGGAGGAAGGAGATGAACAAGAATATACGAGAAAGATAGAGATAAATAACGAACTCACAAAGAGATCGTAAGAACCGCGAACCTCGGACTCTTCCAAAGATTGACGGGTATTGCAAGTTACCCTCCTCGGGCTTCTCCTCTCATGAACTCACTAAGAGATCACATGAACTCACTAAGAGATCAACAAGAACATATAACTTTTCATTATCAATAACCATCCATTACAATAGCTTAAGGCTCTTATTTATAGGCCCCAATATGAGAAAATTCGAAATTACAAAATTGCCCATTGGGCCATAACACTCAAACAAACTATCCTAGGGGTAAAACAAGAAATACATTAATTTAGAACTAAAATTCAGAAAAATAAATCATAATAGAAGGTTTAAATGATAGCCGTCGATTTGCGACGCCTCCTGTGATAGATGTGCCAAATCTTTGTACCGATGTCCTCATCACTTAGATGGCACCTTCATACCTCCTTTCAATCTCATCCCTTACTTTCAACGTGCAACTGAATGCACCACTCGCAATTTGAGTCTAAGCCTCTGTATATTTCGGTCATGTCTAAATCCCCTAGGTTCATACTTTTGTTTTCTTTTTCTAATTGTAATTTTCTTTCAATTTTTATCTGATACAGGCTTGAGCTTGGCCCTCAATTCCCCGAAAAAGAATAAGCAGTTGGAATTACATAAGGGCACCATTTTTAATGCAAATTTTAATTTCATAAAAGTTAGCACATAAGAAAAATAATGTAATGTCAGTAAAAATTTTCCTTTATTTAATATAATTAATATTGCCCTTGTTTACGTTTAGATGAATGGTCTTCTTGGTTTTCTTTGATTTGTCTATTATTTGCTGAAATTTGTTACTTCACCAATTCTTTTCAGCCTTTACTAATGATTATTTTACTTCACGAACCTTTTTTTTCTACGAAAATTTCATTTTCACTTTCTTCCTTTTCTTGTTAAGACTATGGATATTCTTTGTGGGGTCTTAAGGAGGGGAGCATCGAGTGGTCTAAAGCCAAGCATGAAGTGCATAATAGATGTGCACTTAGGCTGCAAGAATTGTGCTTTCGTAATGGAGGAATCTATATCAAGCTTGGTCAACACATTGGTCAACTGGTATGATTGAGGTCTACATTGTTGAATATTATTTATTTAAGTATTATTCCTTTTTTGAATGAATATTAGAAAATAGAGAATTTGCTGTAAGTTATGAATAGTTGTTTTTTAATATAATATAACAAAACTTTATTTGTTTTGTTGTGCTTTATTTAATTGTTTATGTATTGTATGAATTCTCAAGCACAAGCTAAAACTTGAAGTTGTGAACTTTAATGACATTACATTTATAATATTATTGTAATGATCTCTGCTAAATAAGTTGTTTAATTCTTTAATTGTTCTATATTGGACCAGTAATTTGCTTTATGTCATGCGTCTAGATTGAGGGTGACTCAAAAAATGTTGGGAGGTTCCACATAGGTTTTTTTTTTATTTCATTTTTATTATTATGTCCTTTGTCAATATAAAATTAACACTAACAAAAAAAGAAAAAAATCAAAATAAATTAGCCGGTTCCACTTTTGAATGGGTACATTTTTCTGGTAACTTAACATGTTGGATTTCGTTTTTGCACATATTTCAATATTTGGCTGGTGCTTCCTAGAAAAATAGGATTCACAGTAAACTGACACAAGTCTTACAACATGTTGGTGGTATTAATTTTTGTGACTGCTGCCCTGACTTATTGAAACTACTAGATATTTTTGAATTATGTGGAAAGTTAATTTATTACTTGACTCATTCAACATCCTAAGCATTGTTTTATCTTTTTTCCTTGTTTTTACTGTAGCCTCAACTCTTATTTTTCGAAACAAGGTTTTAAAACACGGTTTAGTAGGTCCTATTATAAAATTGTTAGTTTTGGTAAGTTCTGAAATTAAATTTTGATTCCTCTTTTATTGTAGTTTTTTTTTTTCTAAAAATATATATTGTATTCAAAGTATGATACAAAAAGAATTATCTAAATTTGGTTCAACTTATAATATACATATGAAATTCAAGATTTTAGGGAAGCTTACCTGATTACATGATACATTCAAGGTCTTAGGCATTGTTTTGTCTTTTTTCCTTATGTTTACTGTTCTCCACAACTCTTGCTGTTTGGAGCAAGATTTTAGGACTTTGGTTTAGTTTTGTCCAATCATTAAATTTTAGAGTTATGATAGTTTGATCATATTCAAGTTTTAATTTTGGTTGTGGTTTTAGATACTCTTTCATTATCATGGTTTCTTTCCAACATATGGTACATATGAAATTTAACGTGATCTTATTTATAGAATTTTTCTAAATCTTTGATGTTGATATAAGAGTTCTGTGAAATTTCGTGAAAAGTATATGAGTTTCACTGTTTCAGGTAAAACTTCGAGCTTAGGTGAAGTTTAGGTGAAACTCGTAGTTTTGGGCAAACTCTGAATTTCACTCAAAACTTTGTCAAAACTCAAAATTCGGCTGACTGCTGTAATCTGCTAAATCTGAAAATTTTAATGAGTTCTGTGTCTGTTTTGACCAGATATCGTACCAAAACCACCGAGACTTGAAACTTTGAACCACCTCAAGCACAACAACAACAACATCAAGCCTTATCCCACTATGTGGGGTCGGCTACATGAGTCTTTTTTCTCTATTGTGTCATGTTAAAAGTTAAATTCTCATTTAAATGTAATAAAGAAAGGTCATTTCTAATATTTTCCAACCAAGTATTTTTAGGTCTAGTTCTACCTTTCTTAACATAAATCAAATCTAATACATCTACTTTCCTAATCGGGTCATCGGAAGGCTGCCGTTTTATGTGACCAAACCATCTTGGGCAACTCTGTCTAATCTTATCTTCCACTGGAGCAAAATGGCGTTAAGTTCAGATATGATCCATATATATTCATTGTTGTGTTGCTGCAAATATGTTTTGTAATTTTTAGTTTCGTTTTGGATGTGTAAATTTGAGCAATAACTGCCAGCATGCCATTTTATCCTAGAACAATGAAATGGGTTCTAAATTATGATAACGATCAAAACAAGTAATAAAATACGTATGAAATGATATCTTTGTAAGATAGCAGAACTGAATTACAATTGAACAATGCTACAGTTAAGGATTTGACTAATTTGACTATAGTTGAAGGTGGAAAAAAAAGACATCTTTTTTCTTTGTAGATCTGTGCATGGATCTATCCATTGCAAAATTAATTTTGTGCATGGGTTATATTTCTTCGTCGAACAATTGTTAGCTTGTTTTAATTTTTAATTTTCCTTACATTTTTAAAATAAATTTTGTTTCATTCATCTTCTTCCACTGTGATTGATCAGTCATCCTCCCTATAGGAGTATGTTGTTCCTCAAGAATATGTACATATTATGAGAACCTCCATGTTGAAAAGGTGCCCATTTTCCTCTTATGATCAAGTGCGTAAAGTCTTAACCAGAGAGCTTGGAGGACTGCCCGAGGAAGTATATTCTCCTGGATCTCTTCCTGTTTTCATTTGCCTTGCATCCTCTTACATATTTATGTAATTTGGGTTTTCTTATCATCTGCTATATCTGATGCCAAAGACCTTGGTTGCCATGAATTCGGTTCAAGTTGTATTAAATTGATATACTGAACATACCTCTAAACTACTCTTCTATCTACTTCTCTGTCAATTTTCTAGCCTTTATTTTCAGATATTTGAGGAGTTTGATCCTGTTCCTTTGGCAAGTGCTTCCCTTGCACAAGTTCATGCTGCTAGAACCCATGATGGAAAAAATGTTGCCGTGAAGGTTTGCCACAATGCATTTTTTATGAAAGCTTTCATGATATGTTTGTTTATCCATGTATTTATCCATGATTTTTTTGAATAGATGGATAACCAGGTATATCATTTGCGTTAACACGGGTTATAATTATTTTAATGACAGGTTCAGCATACTCATCTTACAGACACTGCTACTGCAGATATTGCCACTGTGACCTTGATAGTGAATGCCTTGAACTGGTTTTTCCCTGAATTTGATTATAGGTACTACTAGTTGAACGAATTTCTCAAATTGATCTGAGATTTAAAATTTTTCTGTCATAGCAATGTCATGTCTGATAAATCTTTATGCAGGGCCAGCACAAGTACATACATATGCATATATTTATTTATATACATTCACGTGCAAGCACAAAAAAAAAAACATTTTCAAACTGGTAAATGCGTCCACGACTCCTTGCAAGCGTGCATGTACCATCTTTCTGCTGCTTTTAGTTTGTGTCGATTCTTTGTTGTGGCTAGAGCCGTTCTCGTGAACATGTTTAAGAGAAAAGAATGGCTGTAAAGAAATCAACCACTAATAAGTCCAATGCTGGTAGCATGCTAGCATTTCAACGTCTTAGTTTAAGGTGGTATTTTGATTGCATATTTTATTCAAAAGGCACATAATCTGTCACGACCCGGCCCGATTAGCTCGTATATTCGAGACGGGAACGAAATCGGACGTTCAGATCAGTCACAAATCAAATGTAAACAAAATTTTTCTAAAAAGGCTTCAAGAACAAAAAGCGCCTCTAAACATTTTTATTTCCATTCCAAAAAGTGTTCATAATACATACAATATGGCTAACTTCTAATTAATCATGCTATGATCATACAATATGGCTAACTTCTAATTAATCATGCTATGATAAGCCACCCAAAAGTAAGGAATTACAGCTAGTAAAAAAGAAAACATAAAAGAATCTGCCACCCGGGCGACTGTAAGTAAACATCGGGTTATCAGCCATCTCTTCTTCCAGGTTCTCCTGAAAAATTCCCAAAACTAGGGAGTGAGCTACGCTCAGCAAATGACAACTACATATAAAGTTCATGTGCATAAAAACAAAACAACATGTAGGTTGAGAACATGTGCTAGTGTATGTCTTAAGCAATGTACTATGTTTACTATATGCTTAACATGAGATCTATGCAATCATATGCTTATTCTTTTATTCGTATCATATACATCTGTCCCGGAGTACCGAATTGTACTGATCAGGTACACATATTTAATGGGCATATCATTTTTCTTTATTTTCATATTGCCTCAAAGGCCGTATTTGTTATACTTCAAATAAAGACTCACAAGCAATTAAAATTTTTTTTTGGCTTTTATACTTGTAGAAAATAACTTTTAATTTTTTTTCTTTATTGATTTTCAAATCAAAGATTAACAAAAAATAATCAATAAAATATTCTTTCACACATATAATCAAAAATAAAGAGGGTTCTCAAAAATCCTTATTTTTAATTTTAAGTGTTTTGTTCGTACAATATGATGCACATATTGCACAGTACGATGCACAAAGCGTACAACATGATGCATACCATAGATTGTATAGCACGATGCACAGAGCGTACAACACGATGCACAACATAGATCGTACAGCACGATGCAGAGATCGAACAATACGATTAATTCAATTTCGTAGAAGATCATCCTGTACGATTAGTTCAGATTGAATCTCAGATCGTTCAAGCCTAAACCAAAGTTCATCAAAAGAGCACTTGGATGGGTTGAACTATATGATATTTATATCGTACAATACGATCTATAATTAAATCAAATCCGATTTGATTCCTTAATCTATGGATTAAATTAGGCAACATAATTAATGTTCGTGCAGTATGATCTAATTCGTATAGTATAATTAGTTCAATTTTTAATATTCAAATTTGCTTAATTTTCAACATATACTTAATACAGAAATTGACTCAAGAAAAATAAAACTTACAGACTCTTTCGAACATGAATTGACTTATACACTAACACAATGCTGTCTTGAGCCTTGATCCTTTATTCTTGCTTGTAGTAGTATCTGAAAAGGTTAGTAATGCACATGAAAAAAATATCAAATATATAATGCATGAATAAGAAAATAAACATCCAATAATGTTTGTAATCATCAAAAAATAAGACCGGGCTCCTGGGCTTTATTGATGATAACAAATATTGTTAGTTGAAATTTTAAATTTGCAAGTTTGATTTTTATTTCATGCTAAGTTCTCTCTCTCACTAAGTGCTTTCTTAAAAAAATGTGAAAAATATTTTTATGATTATAAATTTTTTTAATATTTTTTATATATATTATTATTTATTTATTTTTTAACAAAATAAAAAAACATAATGCAAACACTGATAACAAAAAACTGCACTAATAAGAAAGATTAATATAACCAACACTATCTAATTCCCCTTTTGACTTCACTAAGAAGAGGAACTAAAAGCAGGCTACAATATAAAAAAAATGAACTTCTAAAAATTCAAAGTATAATAAAAATAGTAATAGAATATAAATGTGCACACATAATACATACACAAACATAAAACACAAAAGTAATCTAATCATCCAATAATCCCAAAACACTTATGTCAATAAATCCAAGTATCATAATTTAGGGGTTTGGTGAAAATATGTGCCAATTGATTTTCAGTATCCATTTCCTGTAATTCTATGCCCCCCTTGGCTATGTGATACCTAAGAAAGTAATGTCTAATGTAAATATGTTTAGTCTAAGAATGCTGAATAGGATATTTTGAGATACATATCGCACTAGTATTATCAAACATGATAGGGATAGTTTCTACTAGTAGTCCAAAATCAAGAATATGTTGCTTCAGCCAAAGGACTTGGGTGACATAAGTTCTTACAGCTATGTACTTGGCTTTAGTGGTGGATAGGGTTACGAAATTTTATTTTTTATTGGATTAGGAAACTAAGGATTGTCGCATGAATTGACATATTCCTGAGGTGCTTATCATATTTACCTTACTTCCAGTAAAATTCGAATATGAGTATCTATCTAGGTCAAAAGTTGAACTGTTCCTTGGATGCCAGATACCTAAATTTGGAGTTCCAATGAGATACCTTGAAATTCTTTTAATAGCGGTCATATGGGAATTCCTAGGGTTAGCCTGAAATCTAACACGTAAATAAATGCTAAACATAATATTAGACTTACTAGCAGTTAGGTAAAGTAATAAACCTATTATCTCTCTATATTTCTTTTGATCAACTGATTTTTCGTCTAGGTCCTTATATAATTAGGTTATTGGGCTTATTGATGTATTCATGCTTTTATAACCTTTAATATTAAATTTCTTCAAAATTTCTTTAATATATATAGTTTGGCTTAGAAAGGTTCCATCTTCTCTTTACTTAACAATAACATTGATACCAAAAAATACATTAACTCACCCATCATACTCATCTCAAATTCACTACTCATAATAGAAGAGAATTTATTGTATAAATCATCATTTATCAGAAATGGAAGCAAGTTAACTTTCACACTACCCTTAACAAAAAATTTTTCTAACAGTAAGTTGCTAAGTCTATCATACGAAGCCCTAGGTGCTTGCTTAAGCCCATAAAGTACTTTCTTAATCTTATAATTGCGATTGAAAAAAGATGAATTCTCAAAAGTCGGGGGTTGTTCTATATATACATTCTCTTTAATAACTATATTTAGAAAGGTACTTTTAACATTCATTTGATAAAGTTTGAATCCCTTGAAGCATGCAAATGCTAGTAATACTCTTATGGCTTCTAGCCTAGCTACGGGGGTAAAGATTTTATCAAAATCTATTAATTCTATCTGATTATAACCCTTAGCTATCAATCTAGCTTTGTTTATAACTATTGATCCATATTAATTTAATTTATTTTTAAATACCATTTAGTTCCTACTACACTATGATTAGAGAGTCTACTCACCAACTCCTACACATCATTTCTAATAAATTTATTAAGCTCTTGTTGCATAGTTATAATTCAAAATTTAGAGAAATAAACGTTGTGGTTAACCTCCTTTCTAAGATCTTGCCTAGTCCAAACCCCTATGGATGGATCTCCTAAGATAAGTTATGTAGGGTGACTAGATGAGTACCTTCATTTTCTAGGTATAGGATCTTGAGCTTCTTTATTTTCTAAATCAACATTTTCTACTCCACAGGTTATTTTCTTCATCATCTTCATCTATACTAGTCTTAGTAATTCAATTTGATTCATCAAATAAAATGTGGGTGGATTCCTTAATAACTAAATTCTTTTTTATTAAAAATTTTATGAGCTTTGCCTACTAAGGAATATCGTAAGAATACTACTTCATCTGTCTTAACATCAAACTTTTATAAGTGAGATTTTTCATTATTTAACACAACATTTTACCTAAAAACGTCCAGATGAGACAAGTTTGGGGTTCTACCCTTAAGTAATTTATAAAGTATTTTATGTTGTTTGTATCTAATGTTCGTTTGATGCAGTACATAGTAGATAGTATTTACTTCCTCTGCCTAGAAATATTTGGGTAAATCATATTCATGTAATATTGCCCTAGCTGTGTCTACCAACACCCTATCTTTCTTTCAGCTGCTCCATTCTATTGTGGGTCCTAGGGGCAAAAATTTTATGTTCTATTATGGGTTCTTGATAAAATGATTCAAGTTTTTCATTTTCAAACTCACCTCCATGGTCACTATGAATAGTTGAGACTAAAAATCATGTTTTCCTCTGAATTCAAATAGAAAAGGTCCTAAACTCTTCAAATGATCATTTTTATTTGTCAAAAAATTTACCTAGGTGATTCTAAAATACTCGTCCACAATTACAAATCATAATATTTTACCTCTTAGACTCACCATACTGACAGGTAGTGCAAATGAACCGAGCTGAGCCGAGTATGTGAGTGTTCATGTTTGTGTTCATTTAATATCAGCTTGTTTATGTTTGGTTCATGTTTGTTCGAGCTTTATTATTTGTGTTCATGTTTGGTTCATTTAAATTAATGAGTGTTCATGTTCGTTCGTTTAGTGTTTATCGAGCTTGTTCGCGAACATATTTAACGAATTTTTTTTAACTATCAAACAAACACATTCATGAACATATCTATGAACAAACACATTTATAAGAAAAGCAATTGTCTATGTAATAAAGGCAATGATTATTTATATTTATTAATTATATAATAAAATATTAATTATTTTTATCGAGCTTATTCAC